ATTTATATTATGTTTGGGGTCAGGACAACAGATTTTTTAAGGAGTGTTTGACAACTCAGAAGGGTGCTGCATTAGTGTATGTTCCATGAAGGAAACTTTTGGGTTCACAGGGAAGTTGGGGACTGGTATCTAGGTGTAAAAGGAATTTTGCCTGCCCAGGATCAGATGTCCTGAATATTGCTAGAAAAAGTTCAAGACGGCCACAGAGTGTAAGGTCAGCTGACAATTCACTGGTTCCATTTTCCTCCTCTCAATGTTTTTGTTCAGCTTCTTCTAGTTGGTATTCAGTATATTTATCTATCCTTTCCACTGAAACTCGGGGTTCCGGGATTATCATCCATATTTTTGTCAGTCTTTTGTGTATTTTTAATAGAGGCTTTGAGTAGATTACCCACCTAGTCTGCCATCTTACCAGAAGTCCCTCCAAAACCTTTTGAACTGAGTCTGTCTTCAATTAAAATAGCTCAATAGAACCAGCCCCTCAGAAGCCACTGTCCTGATTGGAACTTGATCACTGGATCATATTGGCACTCATCCCCAGTTATGATGCAGTACATAAATTGTCTTCATTAAGCTTTTACCTTGCTTAAAGGATTTTAAAAATCAGTCTTTTGAGGTAGCTGATCTTTGAATGCACAACACTTTTTACACCCTTGAGCAGAAAGCCTGCCAGAGCAAGATATTCATTTAAAAGAAAGACACTAACGCTATATGAGATTCCAACTTCAGTAGATATTGCATCAAGAGCAATTGTATTCCAACAGTTTCTGGATTTCAGCCACAGTTTCCCTAGTCCTCAAGATTTCCCTCTCTTGACTCATTTTTGGGGGTCTTCCTGGCCTTAAAATGTTTGATTCATCTAAAACTGCTTTTTTTGGTGTGTGGGGGGGTGCACTCCCATAAATTGTAAGGCTTCAATGATTTGGGAAGGTGTCCACTTGAGTTTTGTTAAAAATTTGACCTCAAAATAGTCCGCCCCCCACAACCCATGGCACAATGAGTATCCTTTCTAATGAAGGTATTCTAGCAAAACTAAAGCAATAAAGTTATGGAGAGAGCTTATGTGCTGTCATCCATTGATTAAAGAGACATATTTAAACATACCTTGTTTGAAATAAACAGGTGCATGTATGAACTGGAGCCCTAGTAACAATACCTTTGGACTTAACTTTATGTATGATAATTTATACAGAAAACCTAGAAAAATTTACATTCAATTTCATTGAATACAAAGATTTAGCAAGTTTGACTGATTCAAGATGAATACATAGAAATCAAGAACAGTAATGCTACTGAACATCAAATTTAAACAAATTATCATGTATGATAGAAATAAAATTCATGAAGTATCTATAGACAAAATAGGTAATCAGGTAGTAGAAAAAAATTTAACTTTATTAATAAACATAAAGGAAACCTTAAATCAACTGAGAAACAATATTATCCATTGGAGAATGGGAAGATTCCATGTTGGCGGGAATACATGCCTCCCAATTAATCAATAAATGTGTGCCAGCTGCTGGAGAAAAAGATCTGGAGGAGGGAAGAATGTCTGCCTTTGTAACAGCGTATACACTCGAGTATAAGCTGACCCGAGTATCAGCTGAGGAACCTAATTTTACTGCACAAAAAATGTACTGAAAAATTCGGCTATACATGAGTATATACGGTATGTATAGTTAGTGACTTAGATAAGAAATAAAAGATAATTCAAACAAATAAAAAAGTTCCTATATTACAATTGTTTAAAAGGATGACTAACATGCTGGTATGGTCAATACAAGTAATTTGAGATCATCAATGAATGTGCTAGACAGAAAAAGTTAAAAGATTGTCTTATTTTTAAACAAAATAAGAATGAATTATAGGGCAGGCACACCAGCCCTTAGAAAATAAGTTGCATAGGGTGAACATGAGACTCCAAAGAAGGAATCCCAGCTCTGAGACCAAGACTTGAGTAGGTAAATAAAAGCTCTTCCTCTGCAGTTTTTTCCAGTGTAGCACACTGTGCAATTGTGTGTAACAACTTCCAGATGTTATATTCAACGTGTCATTTTCCTCTCCTCATGTCACACTTGGCACAACCTATTTCATACATCACACGTGAAATACCCTGCAGCAGTACAGCACCTCTGCCCACCTCCGACTGTTTCTGTGGCTTTGTACTTCCAGAAGTCACAAACCTTGCATTACAGCCAAATGACTTTATGTAAATTCTAAAAGATATATAAGATAGTATTTTTATTCATTACCCTCCTACTTATCATATCAATTCATTAAGTTATCCCTATATACACCAATCAAGTAACCAAATGGTATTGTTTACTTTGATATAAAGAACCTTCATGAGCATCTAGGACTACTGGCAATAAATTCTCGCCATTTTCATTTATTTAAAAGTACCTTTAATTCACCATCAATTATAAAAGTATTTTTGCTTGATATAGAATTCTCAATTTGAAATTTTTTCTTCAAATGAAAAGTCAATGACAATTCTTATCATTTTTTATCTACATATATGTTTGTTTATTTAGATGGAAGCCTCCCATATAGACTTTAGGCCCTCACTCTGTATAACATTCTCAAATGCCAAGTCTTGAAGATTCCAGCTGCCCTCAAACCAAAAATATAACAAAACAAAAAATAAAAACAACGAATCCACTGCCTTCCACTGTCAACTATAGTGATCCCACTGCATCGGGTAGAATTGATCTGAATTGAAACCCTGTTTCAGTATGCAGTCCGTCATTTAACTCATTGCACCATGGGGTTCTTCCAGTTACCTCAGTCAACCCTAATTCTGATCTGTTCCTTCTGAAAAAATAGATCGCTGGTTTTCTGTACAGCTGGTATATTCTACCTATAACTTCAATTTTCTGTACCACAATGAAGAACTGTCCTAATCTTGGAAATGGTGAGACGTACCTGATGAAATTAGTTCTTTCAAAAATCATAGTTTTCTGCTTCCAATCCCTAAAGCAGTTGTCTAAATACTATGTCTGCTTTGATAGTTATGTATAATGGGAAAACTCATTTAGTAGCAATTACTCCCTCCATCAAGTCCAGAGGCTAGTTATATTAATTCCTTTTAAAGAAGCTAGGTCCTTAAGATGCACTTTTCAGAAGTGAAAGTACTAGTCATGTAAAGTGACATTTTCACTGCTTAAAAAATGTATTATAATAAGTTGATCTCAAAGAAAAGTTTCTGCTAACCTCTGCAATACAGCCACCAGGCAATTGAAATATAGAACAAAAACAAACTCAACAGAAAGATACTAGAGAATAAAATGTATTCATACATTTCTAAGTGAGTGAAAAGGGAGCCTAAGGTTAGGAGAAGCTGAGTCAATAGTTACATGAAACGGAACCAAACTACAGAAACTATTTTTAAGAGTGGTGGGGATATAATCCGTTCACCAGTAACCATCAGAACAACTAGACAGGTAAGAAGAAAAAATAATGAGGAAGGAATTTCATTTTCTGAGGGGGTAACCCAAAAATAACCAGAATTTTTTTTCCAAAGCTATGTATTTAATTTTTTTTTTTTT